GAGGGGGCGGAGGTGGTTCTCCCTCTCCCTCGCTCTTCTCTAATATATATATTTTTAATATAAAGAGATATAGTGAGCGGGGCCTGTTAACTCAAAGGGAGGAGGAAGGGGGAGGGATGGGAGCGGAGAGGGGGGAGGGGAATCTGCTCTCCCCCCCTTCTTTTCCCCCCTTGGATTTTTTGGGGGCTGGTGCAGTTTAAGGCAGAGATTTTAAGGTGGATTCTGCGAAAGTTGCGCGTCTGCTTTCAGACTTGATGCAGACGCCACGAGTCGAATGGTTTGTCTCCAAAGGGCAGCGCCTCCCCATTGGTCAGTCGCCCCCTGACGTCACAGGCGCACGGCTTCTACTGGTGTGTGCGCCGCTCGCCGAGTTCTTCGCCTACCTTCGGCAACTCCAATCCCAGCCCCGAGCTGCAGCCAGGGGCCGCGCGGCTCTGCGCACTGGGCCTCCGGGGAGGGAGGTGCCTCCACCCCGCCGGTCGCCGACGCCTCCCGCCGCAGCTCGCGCCCCCAAACCCGGAGCCTCAGTTCCCAATACCGCAGCCTTGGAACAGTCTAACAGAGGGCTGCTCTCTCGCAGTCCCCTTGCACCCTAGCAGGCTGCCTGTGCTCTGAAGCAGTGCCCTCTGCATTTAAAGCAAGCCCCCCTCCCTTGACCTCCTCCCCCCGCCCCCAGTCCCACTGCAGTCCCGCGGGAGCGCCTTGTCACCGTGGATTTTTCTAGACCTACTTTATTGAAACCACAGACGGAAGAAGAACCCCCACACCTGGGCCCCACCCCATGGGTAGGGGGAAGTAAAGAAAAAGAAAAATCAGACCCCGTTCTGGCGAGTTTCCTGCCGTTTCAGGCCATATTTCCTATATATTGAACAGAAAAGGGGGAGAAAGCGCTCTTTTTTTTACCCCCAGAACGCAGCAGCCTGTTCTGAAAGCGAATCGTTGGAGGACTGACAGTAATGCATTTTTTCCTATTGAAAACAGAAGCTACTGTAATGCTTTCAAATATATGCAAATGATACATGCGGTTAGTGGTTTGGCAAATCTTGATTACAATATAAACTACCCAAGTAAAAGTGCCTTCGTCCTAAATTTGTCTCTCGATTACAATTCCAATTGATTTTATTTTATTGTCAACATTGTTAATGATAAAAATAGAGTCGTTTTACAGTTATTTTTACTTTCTGGAAGGAGGCAATTAGAGTTCTAATCAGGAATACACAAAAATCTCCCATGATTAACTGCAGTACTTTGTTCAAATTGCTGCTATAAAATTCAGAACAATTTGCCTGTAATGATTATGGACTGGGTTTATTTTGGGAGGTGGAATAAAAGTGGATATAGCATAAATTATCCTCTAATTATACACCAGTGTCGCCTCAATTATCCTCTTATCAAAATGGTTGTCTAACTGCCGCATTTAGTTTCAATTCTCTCCTTTTTTTCTATAAAAAGAACTTCATACCTTGTTATTATTAATCCATTTATTATTTGCAAGGGGATTTATATCCGCACATCCAGGTGGTAGAACCACTTCTCTTTCAAAGATGGACTGGGGAAAGACATTAAGTTCGGAGCAGCCCAGGGCTGCGGATCTAGCCTTCCTCCCAATAGTCTCCAGACCCACTTAGGTCGAGGCAGCCGAGCAGAGACAGAGGAACCCCAGCGCGCAGCTCTGGCCCGGCCACCCCACCAGGTAGGAGAGCTGGATCTGGGATCCGGAGCCGAGGAGGGCAGGCCGGGCAGCGCCCGGGTCCGGGTCCGGGCCCTGGGGCTGTGGGGAGGCACCAGGCGTCCGCACTGCCTGTAGATCGGGACTGGGTGGGCAAGACATGCAGACCCCCACGGGCTTGGCGCCAGCTCTCAGTATGGGAATTGATCCAAGCCGCGAGGCTTTGGCCACGCCGAGAAATGTACAATCTAACAACTACGGGTCAACGTGTCTAGAGTTTGCGGGGACGAATCTGGGTCTCCCTTTGGAAAAACTACGGACAGCTTTTTTACACCCTATTCGCTCGGGCTTCATAGGTTGTGCGACCCAAGGTACTTGAGAAATGGAGAATTTAGTGGTGCCGCTCGCCCCTGTAATTTCAGAAAAGGTGGCTGCAGACCCGGCAGCTCAGACTCTATTTACATACAGCGCTAAGCTCCGCGGTAGCGGCTTGTGTTAATTGATTTTCGCAGCTCCCAGCCCTGGGTCTGAAGGCATGGCTAGGATAGTTTGCCCCCCCCCCCCTTTCTTTCTTTCCTTCTTTCCTCCATTTTATCAAATGACCTGAAACTCGCTGCCCGTGGGTTTTCTCCAGGGTTCCCAAGGCAGCAGCGTCTACTCTCCCCTCCACCCCTCCCTTTCCTAGCCCGCCGCGCTTAACTTCTTGAGCCTCGGGAGCCGGTTCAGTAACTCTGAATTCATTTTTAAGTGGCGTGCCTTGTTCCCCTCAACAAGAGGTGCACTTTAACACCCGAACCAGTAACCCAATCCACGCGTTTACAAATAGGCAGTGAATTAAAACAACAACAAAAAGACTCCAAGAAAAATGAAAGGTGGGCTGGTGTGTGTGTGTGTGTGTGTGT